CAAGTTACATAGATGTTTTCTATCGTCTAAACAATAGTCGTGATTGACAATTGGTATTATAATATTATATTATAATATTTAATTAATAGATAATGACAATAATATATAAATAATATTGTATAATATAATTTTATTATTATTATTATATTGACAATTGTTGAACGTGGTAACGTATTTACGTGGTCGTACACGTTGCAATACAATAATGCAATGCAATACGTGGAAATAATATTATACTCACAGTGCAATAACACAATAAACAATTGTTGTACGTGTAGTGTATATACGTAGTGATGGTATATAGTTGCTGGTGTTTAACCATTTAGCATTAGTAACTATACATGTGCGCGTGTGGGCCATGATTACATTTTCTCTAACGATTGTCAGATAATGCACACCAATAGGTGATCCATTGATTACCATATCCCCGGGGACGCGCGTGGCACGGATTAGATACAATAATGAAACCCAACGCAAGAGTAGCACCTTGTGCTGGGTCACATTATTGTATCTAGGTACGTATCTATAACAGCGATTGCCAATCGATACCAGATCTTAGATCTTCGACGAGCAAGCAACGCGTTACCACGTGATCGATGGGCAGAGAGAAGCTTTTGTGATAGCGTGGGCAGTGAAATGTCGCCTAGTAATTAAATAGGTCTTTTCATAGAAGGTGTTTCACGGCCACACACATACTCGTTCTACTTTGACAAAGCGATTTTTCGTTAGAGCCACTCGGTAAAGCATTGGCTATGATTGTTCTTTCATCAATCTCGATGAGAAAGTAGATGCTTGTAGGAACGTATACTGTTTCTACAGGAATGTATGCGGCCGTTATCCTAACCCCAAGCACCCACCTGCCGGCATAGCTCCTATCATGGTCCCGTTAATAGGATCGAAACCAACCCATCGTCCATTACCCGAAGCAGCGGCCCGTGTTCAATCAACAAATACTTTGTTACTTAGACAACAATGATGCGCTATGATTGACTCGTTGTGTGCTAAGCATTGTGTTGGTTTTGGAGTCATGACCACCCTTGGAGTAAGCCCCCACCGTGTTGATATTGGGGTGATCGAGGCCCTCTGTGCTGATATTGGGAGTCCGGACCACACTGTTGATATTAGGGTGAGCCCCAATGTCCTGGTATTTGGAGTCAGGACCACCTTGTTGATATTGGGATGAGGCCCACCTCTCGCCTATCAACGGGATGCTATTGTTTATATAGCAATCGCGCGGAGCACGCTTGGGACGAAGTAACGGGGACCCGGGGTCGACCGTGCCCAAGCGCTGAACAATCCGGTTCTCACCTAGTCCCCCACACCCCCGGGCTGACGGCTCTCCTATAAAACATGGGAGGAGGGCGATGCAAGATCACACACACTCACGTCAAACCTGATCGTAGCGTGCAAGCATTCCACGTGTGAAGGTAAGTGTTGTTCTGATATCGTATTTTTCGTTTGTTGTTCGTTGAAACTTTTTTTGTGTGGTGATCGTTTACGCGATGTGTTATGCTCGATTATAACTTAAAAGTCAGTATTAATATCGTCTGCTTACGAGCTGGAATTAGATTGATTCATCGTAGTAATTGTCAATGTGATATAAGGACAATAATTTGTAACTCGTACTTCGCTTTACTGGCATATTGCGTATACGTATTGCGTGTGTGACTGCGTGAAAAACACGCTCTGTGCGTTTCAGCTAAAAAATCTCATACATATATACATATATATATATATATATATATTGTACTGCATGTGCACGCAGCCCGCGCGTGCACGTTCTTTGTAAAGTTACTTTTGCTCGTTTACTATTACTTTCCTGCGATACAGTTGTGCTGCTTGTCTGTTCTTACGAGCATGCATCCCGTCAGGTATTTATAAGCTCGCTATTTATATATATATTTACCTGTGATTTCTGTTTCTACAGATATAAGCAGAGACCATCATGACGAAGTTCCACACTGCACTGTTCGTGATGGCTGTTGTTGGCGCGGTAATGCGTGAGGGAGATACAGCCTTTACACCGACGCTGCTGGGTGAGTGTAAAACACGAAATGATCCCCCAGTTGTTTCATCAACAAACAAGATTGAACATCATTTTGAACTTGGATTTTTTGCTGATTTTCAGAGTCCCATATTTACCATCTTCGTTTTCGTTTCTATCGTTTTTTATCGATGCTAATTAATCAATAGACGTCGATTTCCGTTTTTTCTCTGTACGTAGTAGTTCTAGTCCAGTACTTACGTAGCTACTTATGTACGCAATGTGTTACGTAATTATTTATACGTTGATCGCGTATACGCTCGTTGATACGTGACATCCTGCTGCACCGAGCAGGTTACATATGCGTGTTGTGATTACTACATCGAACATTTCATTGGCGTTGCGCACATCTGGTGACGTCATCATCGTAATCGCCATCTTGCGGTTGCAGATAAGGTTATCACGTGTCGTGGAGACGCCACTGACGTCACATTGTTCTTCGAATCTGGCTTCAATGGTGAGGCGTTCGCCGACGGCTACCACTCCGACGCTAGGTGTCGCGCGAGAGACGATGGAGCGTCGTCGCTAACGCTGTCGATCGACTACAACGAGTGCGGCGTCTTCCAAAACACTGCCGTACGTTCATATTTCATGTTATACAGCTAGCGTAGATAGCTAGAGAATACCCGTAGCGTATGTTCTGCAGTCTCACTCAATGAACACAGTTCTGCTTATATCACATATATATATATATATATATATATATATATATATATATGCGTGTGTGTGTGAGCGCGCGTATATATATAAATATAATATAAATATAGCTTGAAATAATGTAAAAGACGAATGAGGTGAAAGTAATTATTTAAACATGTGTGACCGCCACCCCCCCCCCCACCTGCGCCACTTACAGCAATTCTACATTTGGTTCTTATAGGATCAGACGTACATGGTGTTCGTGACGATCGCACAACGTCAGAATCTCATCGAGGCCGATGACATAACGTATCTTATCACCTGCGACTACGACATCGACATGGCGGTGACAATCAGCGCCAGTGACGTAGAGTATAGTGCACAACACGCCTCCGCCGGCCGCAGATTCGCCTCACGGTGTGGGAAGGCAGCGACAATGACGGCAAGACGACACAGCAACTTCGTCGACATCGGCGCACCTCTGCTACTCGTTGCTAGCCTGGAAGATGCGAGTAAGTGCACTGCTATCCGTGTCTATTCTGCTTCAGAGTTTATTGCGAGTTTTCGAGCTTTCCGTGTATCTTTTGAGTTTGTATGCTGCGATGTATGTTTTTACGTCTCTGTTTCTCGCTCGGAGGGTAAGTGCAGTGCGGCCAGTAATCGCAATGCTAAAAGAAACCTAGAGAGGTTATATTTAAATAACGATTCAGGTTTCATCCTCCTGATGATGTATTATGTGATATATACATGTTTTTGCCGTGGCTGTGTGTTAGTTGCTAGCGTAGAGCGCAGACACGTCGTCATACACGCTTTTGACACAACCCGTAAGTGTATATTGCCACGTGTCTGCTACTCATACCTAGCTTTTGAAAATGCGACTAATATAGTGCTAACCTTAAAAGGTTTCATAGCGATATAGCTTACACGCAATATCAAAAATTCTGCGGTAATTAACTGTAGTAAACAGCTGCAATGTTTTACAATTTTACTCAAACGTGTTTATTATTATGTGCATAACGTTCAATTTCGTGTATTCTGTGCGATCATTAGCTGTTTCTTCATCTATCCGTGTACGCGTGCCAATCTTCTGCCATTGTTCATCCGACAGGTATCTATCAGAACATCCTTCTCTACGATTGTCGCGCCTTCAGCGCAGCCGACGAGAGCTTCCAGGTGGAACTAGTCGATAGCGCCGAGTGAGTATATCGAAACATCCAGGCAAAACTAATCGATAACACGGAAGTTTCAAACGTATGGTCTATTGGGGGAAGTAACCGACGTTTCGTCTACGAATGCGCAAGTTTGCAATCAATTGCCTTGGCATTGTTTTTCAATTTTTGTTTTGTATTTGTATTGATCGTGTTCCTCTAAACAACTGGCGATTAAATATTCACGGAATTTAATTAACGTATTAATTATAACAATTGCATGCTTAATTAAATCAAGTGTCCTATTTTTTCCGGTCGTGCACCTCTCTATAGCTGGCGAGTAAATATTTTCGGAATACAATTAACGCACTAATTATAGCGTATTAATTACTTTTTTGCTCACTCGCAGGTGCGTCAACGCTGGTCTAGTCGATGACATCATACAGACGGAAGCCGTACAGAAGAACATCGGTGGAGACAGTCCGGTCGAGAAGTGGATCGCCTTCCGCGCATTCAAGTTCCCCGATGCCAACATCGTGCGCTTCCGTTGCCAGGCGTTCGCTTGTTTCTTGGCCTCCGACTGCGACGACACGGTAAGTCATCCGGCCTCGATGCACGATATATTTTAATATTTATAATAATATATATATATATATATATACATATTTGTATTTAGTTATATTTTTATAAAAAATAATGATATAATAGTAAGTAAGCCTACCTTCTCCTGTAGGTAACGCGTTGGTCGATCGAACGCGGATCTCTCCACTCAGCGTCAGCTTAGGAACATCGCTCTGTATAAGCTCCAACTCCTGCTCCTCCCCCTCCCCCGCCGCACGCTTCCTCCTCCTCACCGGGGAGCACTGAAATACGAGACGAATAACGTAAATAAATAATGTTGTAGTAGATTAGATTAAGTGATATCGTGCGAATGATATGACATGATATCATGTCATATCATATCATATCACATCATATCACTTCCTATCATACCATACAATGTCATATCATACCATGTCATACCATATCATACTATATCATGCGAGGGAGTAAAAGATGTGCCCATGAAGTAGCGACTAGACAATCAACTCCTTTCGGCACTCTGTGAGTTACTGCGCGATACGACGCCATGTCTAGATGAGCCATTATTGGTACTATCGTCTCTTACGTTACTATCGTTAATTCTCTCGTGCAAAACCTTGCTACATGACGTGACATGCGTGTGTTTGTGCTGTTGCAGCTGCCGCCACCACCCAGAGCAGCAATAGCGTCTGCATACCGGCGGCTGGATTCGGCGCTGGTCTGGCCGTCTTCGTCATCATCGTCATCGCCGCACTCGTCGCCGCCGCCATCACACGTCATCACGGCAGACGTGACGATGACAACCCGTTGGTGTAGCTAGGTGGAGAGAGGGATCTCAGATACGAAGAGATATTAGTTAGAGAGCGTGCGCGAGAGAGCGTGAAGTGAGAGAGGTAGGAGCTGAGAGAGCCAGGAGAACGAGTTCGTCTTTACGACGCTAGCTTGATGCCATGCCTGTAAATACG